TCTTAATGATGGATTTGTTTCTTACAAAAATGCAGCTTTTCGCTTCACAAGATGTTAATTGGTGGACTGGAGTCGTGTGGATTACTTATTATGTACATATTATGTTTTTATCAGCTGTTTGGACTCTCATTCTGACGGCACCCATTCACTGCAGAGGATCCATTGGTCAGTAAGTGATGGTATGCTAAATTTCTCCAAATCTGTGAATCTACATATACATCTTGAATGGCTTTATAGGGTGAGAAAACTTTAAAGGGGTCATATGATGCGATTTCAATTAAATCGCATAAACACATTTCATTGCACAAAATAATGTTCTTTTTAGCAGCATCATATGACCCCTTTAAGAAAAATTTTCATTTTGGGTGAACTACTCCTTTAATAAAGTGAATTACTCATTATTTGTTCATTTTAGTTAATATGCACTAAAGTAATGGAACCTTATTATAAAGTGTTACTGTTTTCTTTTTGGCTTCTCGTGTGCAAGCAGGTGAGAAAGCAATAAGACAACTCTATAATGCATCTGAACTTTCCAGTCTAAATTGCTTTTTTCATTATAGGAAACAAAAAAAGATCTGTAAATATACATTTGTTTTCAGCTGACTTATTACACAAGTAAATCGACATAGCAACAAGCATGCGTGGGAGAGGGAGTGATACATCCTAACAGGAAACAGCGCCCCTGCAGTGAATGAACACGTGTGGGCATTGCAAACATTTCACCTTTCTTTTTTAAAATTTCACATCAACACACAATACAAACACTCCCAGTTCTGATTTTTCATTCTTATCATCCAAAGATCACACAATCTCTAAAATAATCAAGTTTTCATCTTATTATTTTGATGAAACTCATCTGTTTCATACAGGCCTGGCTCAGATACAAGACTCTCAGGGAGGATCGGACATGATTAGGTGGGCCAGGCTGGTTTCATAATGTTTTGAAAATGCCTCCTATTTGAAATTAATAATATTGCCAATGTCATCCAGGCTGTTGATGAATCATCCATAAAGGTAAACATGTATTTATTTGTCTATAATTTAGAAAGCGCTATTTTACTAAACAAGCAGACTATATAAATATCCACATAAATGCTTAGGTTTTGTATTTATTATATTAACAAGCTATCTAAAATATGTTTTGGCACACTCTAAATCATATTGTCTACAAACAAATATGCAAAACAAAAGTGACGTGCAGTGATGCTAAAGATCTCCGATCATCCTTTATTTTGGTAAACACCTCAAATAACTGCATCCTCTATGAAGGAAAAGCATGCACATGTAAGCTGTATTCTGACGTGTGCGTTTTAATACCTGATTTGGGGTATGTAACGATCCATATGTCGCTACTTCTTAACGAAAAGTTGTCGATCTCGTCCATCTTGCCCCTGCAGAAAGGAGGGAGTCGAACTCCATGATACTCGAAGTATTTGCTCTCGTATTCAATCGGGGTGCTCGGCGTGTCCACCTCGCTTTCCGCCATCCTTTCAAACGATTACAACACGAAAGGCTTGAAGGGATTGATTTTTAAAAAGATTTGGGGAGAAGAGGACGCATCTGATATCCAGTAGCCTCTGATTGTTTGGCAAAGACGTGCCGCTTTGCGTGCGTCTTGACCTTCAGCCAATCAGGATGAGGAGAGATGATGTAATGGGATTCTCTCAGCATCAGCACCAGTCGTCTGGGCGGTTCCTCGAGCAGGCCAGATGTTCATCGCTTATGTAAATAAACAACACGTTTCTAAAAGTAAAACTATAAAAAATGTGGTTGCTGAGTGAGGAAGACGAATCCAATCTTGCATTAAATGCTATAATCTGTTTGTCTGCTTTCTCATGACCACGATAAGGCATTTAAATTTTAATAAGTCTTTAGCAAATATTGCATTGTGGATATACACTTAAATATGAATGTGTAGTAGCCACATATAGTAGTATAAAATCAAATAGCCTATATGTGTATGTATTTTAGCACTTATATAATGCATACCAATGTTTGTTATAAATGAATATCAAATTATAGTGTTAAATAAACACGAATAACGTTGAGTGTCTCGTAGGAAAATTAGAAAAGATTAGTGTCTCGTAGTAGAAAAATATTAAAATCTTAGAACGATTTTTTCCCACACTGGAGACAATTTATTGTAATAAATATAATTGTTTAAATCTACTCATTACAAGTATTGGTACTTGAATAATAAATAATCTGTTCGTGAAATTTTTTATTGTTTTAAATGTCATCATCTTAAACGAATGTGATTGGGCTGTCTCGACAAATCTTGAGAAAAGTAGCACTAACCATGTGACAACGTTGAACAGTATACATAACAGTATATATACCACGTGTAAGCCCCGCCTATTTAGGAATTCGCTAACAGAGTTTCTATTTCTACTGGGCTGCGGCAAGTTTCCTATTGGCTCCAGTGCTGACAGACGCAAGAGCAAAACACAACAGCAACAACCCCTCCTTCTGCACAAAGATAAGCAAACACCTTTACAGAAGGTATGATATTAGTTATAGCGCGAGCAGGAGCAGCCTGAGACTTTGCCGCAGTCATGTTTGATTTAAACTTGAAGGGAGGCTGGAATCTCTCGTTCGCTGGATGCGGCTTTTTAGGGGTCTATCACATCGGTGTCGCGAGCTGTCTTCTGGAGCAAGCGCCTTATCTGATCCGCGGAGCCACTAAGATCTACGGAGCCTCCGCAGGGGCTCTCACTGCATCCGTGCTCGCTACCGAGGCATGTTTAGGTACGAAGATCACAACACGGTTGTGTTTCAAAACCCTGACTAGATGGTGCTCAAAAAGGCTGTTTTTGTGTAGATAGCTTGCTAGGTTTTTGAGTCATTCTTCTGTCGTTTCTTCTGGTGATTAGGGGACTTATGTATTTTGCTTCCTTTAAGTAAATATTTGAAAGTAACTATAACCATATTTAGGGTGGTGGTTAAATATAGAACCTCACCAGTGTTTTATGACTAATATTTTTATGTGTAGCTCAGATATTTTTCTGCATTTTTTATTCTCATATACTCAAAAGATGGTTAATGGATAAAAAATGCACACAGACACACATTCACACATAAATATTTTCTTTGTATAATATATACACATATAATATACATATACATATAGAAAGGTTTGCTGTTCTGTAATGGTCATCTATTTATTATTCTGATTAAAAAAAATACAAAATTATATTCACATAAAATAAAAATATTCATGTAACAATTTAAGCAAACTGCTCAAATTATTAAGTTTATGTACCTGTGAACACCATTGCTTTTGTTGAAGCAGTGTTATTTTAATATTATTTCTATGCTATTATAGTATTTATTCAGTTATGAGTAGGAAAGGTGTGTAACAAATAAAATGTATTAATTTATTGATTCATATTTTGAATCAGCTTTTAGGTTTATATTTTCAGAGATTCAGTCATTTTGTTACATGCATTTTTCATGTTTGTTTGTTTATTTTATATTTCTATATTGCTTTGATATATTTTTAGTTTTAGCCAATTTAGTATTATTTTGCATTTATTTCAGTTAACTTATTTATTTCATGACCTCATGTTTCAAGCCCAAAATATCTGAACTATGCTATCTGAATTTTATTATAGCATTTCATTTTATAGCTGATCCTCTGGGTGTGTAATCCAGGAGCTGTTTCCACTGGGTAATTAAGCAAGACTCCGAGGAAGACAAGTGGAAAGTGTAGAGTGGGTCACTTTGTATGAAAGTGTCAGTTAAATTACAAACTATGGGTTTTCTTGTTGCAGTATCGAACCAAGAACTGTAAACTGTGCAGTGTGCTGTTGTTTGTGCATGTCTGTGTGATATCTGCATGACTTCATTCTTTCACTTTCATGTAATCTGAACTAGAAAGCTGATTCAGACTCTAATCAACCTTTGGTTTATTACAGGTTCAGAGATTGTGTGTATTGTCAAGATTAAAGATGATAAAATAATGTTCAATGTATCTGCATTACAGTTCTTTTTTGTTCATCTTATGTTCTTGACTTTCTTTTCATCTTGCCTGTGTATTGCTTAGTTCATTATTTGTGTCTGTTTCTTTCCACTGATGCAGAGAAATGTTGTGAAGACGTAATCAATGTTGCCAAGGAGGCACGGAAGCGTAATCTGGGCCCTTTGCACCCAACATTCAACATAGTCAAGGTGATACGTGGAGGCCTGTATCGGGACCTGCCGTCCAATGCACACACGCTGGCCTCTGGTCGACTGTGTGTGTCCCTCACACGCGTCATGGACGGCCAAAACGTACTGGTGTCGGACTTCAGCTCCAAAGATGAACTCATCCAGGTGAGAGCATCACTTTACCGTAGAAACAGCTCAGACTTTGATTTTCTGTCACCACTTTATATTATTCTGATAAACTACTTTTATATTCTTTTATCTACATGATTTAATGGGGCCATAACATGACATCACACTAATTCACTTAATATTCTGATAAATTCTCTGTAAAAATGAGGTCGTAACATTTTATTGAAGGAGTTCCCAAGAATCATCAGCCAAAACCCCTTGCATGTTAATTTATTAAATATTGTGGTTATAGCTTTTACCATGTTTAAATCCGTAGAATCAGGTTTCCCTCAAAATCAGTGCAAAATTGCCATTTTTTTTACATTTGGAATTTAAAATAGCTGCTAGTTAACTAAAATATACATTAAAATTAATAAAATAAAATGTATGTATATATATATATATAACAACACGTTTCTAAAAGTAAAACTATAAAAAATGAGGTTGCTGAGAGAGGAAGACGAATCCAATCTTGCATTAATGCTATAATCTGTTTGTCTGCTTTCTCATGACCACGATAAGGCATTTAAATTTTAATAAGTCTTTAGCAAATATTGCATTGTGGATATACACTTAAATATGAATGTGTAGTAGCCACATATAGTAGTATAAAATCAAATAGCCTATATGTGTATGTATTTTAGCACTTATATAATGCATACCAATGTTTGTTATAAATGAATATCAAATTATAGTGTTAAATAAACACGAATAACGTTGAGTGTCTCGTAGGAAAATTAGAAAAGATTAGTGTCTCGTAGTAGAAAAATATTAAAATCTTAGAACGATTTTTTCCCACACTGGAGACAATTTATTGTAATAAATATAATTGTTTAAATCTACTCATTACAAGTATTGGTACTTGAATAATAAATAATCTGTTCGTGAAATTTTTTATTGTTTTAAATGTCATCATCTTAAACGAATGTGATTGGGCTGTCTCGACAAATCTTGAGAAAAGTAGCACTAACCATGTGACAACGTTGAACAGTATACATAACAGTATATATACCACGTGTAAGCCCCGCCTATTTAGGAATTCGCTAACAGAGTTTCTATTTCTACTGGGCTGCGGCAAGTTTCCTATTGGCTCCAGTGCTGACAGACGCAAGAGCAAAACACAACAGCAACAACCCCTCCTTCTGCACAAAGATAAGCAAACACCTTTACAGAAGGTATGATATTAGTTATAGCGCGAGCAGGAGCAGCCTGAGACTTTGCCGCAGTCATGTTTGATTTAAACTTGAAGGGAGGCTGGAATCTCTCGTTCGCTGGATGCGGCTTTTTAGGGGTCTATCACATCGGTGTCGCGAGCTGTCTTCTGGAGCAAGCGCCTTATCTGATCCGCGGAGCCACTAAGATCTACGGAGCCTCCGCAGGGGCTCTCACTGCATCCGTGCTCGCTACCGAGGCATGTTTAGGTACGAAGATCACAACACGGTTGTGTTTCAAAACCCTGACTAGATGGTGCTCAAAAAGGCTGTTTTTGTGTAGATAGCTTGCTAGGTTTTTGAGTCATTCTTCTGTCGTTTCTTCTGGTGATTAGGGGACTTATGTATTTTGCTTCCTTTAAGTAAATATTTGAAAGTAACTATAACCATATTTAGGGTGGTGGTTAAATATAGAACCTCACCAGTGTTTTATGACTAATATTTTTATGTGTAGCTCAGATATTTTTCTGCATTTTTTATTCTCATATACTCAAAAGATGGTTAATGGATAAAAAATGCACACAGACACACATTCACACATAAATATTTTCTTTGTATAATATATACACATATAATATACATATACATATAGAAAGGTTTGCTGTTCTGTAATGGTCATCTATTTATTATTCTGATTAAAAAAAATACAAAATTATATTCACATAAAATAAAAATATTCATGTAACAATTTAAGCAAACTGCTCAAATTATTAAGTTTATGTACCTGTGAACACCATTGCTTTTGTTGAAGCAGTGTTATTTTAATATTATTTCTATGCTATTATAGTATTTATTCAGTTATGAGTAGGAAAGGTGTGTAACAAATAAAATGTATTAATTTATTGATTCATATTTTGAATCAGCTTTTAGGTTTATATTTTCAGAGATTCAGTCATTTTGTTACATGCATTTTTCATGTTTGTTTGTTTATTTTATATTTCTATATTGCTTTGATATATTTTTAGTTTTAGCCAATTTAGTATTATTTTGCATTTATTTCAGTTAACTTATTTATTTCATGACCTCATGTTTCAAGCCCAAAATATCTGAACTATGCTATCTGAATTTTATTATAGCATTTCATTTTATAGCTGATCCTCTGGGTGTGTAATCCAGGAGCTGTTTCCACTGGGTAATTAAGCAAGACTCCGAGGAAGACAAGTGGAAAGTGTAGAGTGGGTCACTTTGTATGAAAGTGTCAGTTAAATTACAAACTATGGGTTTTCTTGTTGCAGTATCGAACCAAGAACTGTAAACTGTGCAGTGTGCTGTTGTTTGTGCATGTCTGTGTGATATCTGCATGACTTCATTCTTTCACTTTCATGTAATCTGAACTAGAAAGCTGATTCAGACTCTAATCAACCTTTGGTTTATTACAGGTTCAGAGATTGTGTGTATTGTCAAGATTAAAGATGATAAAATAATGTTCAATGTATCTGCATTACAGTTCTTTTTTGTTCATCTTATGTTCTTGACTTTCTTTTCATCTTGCCTGTGTATTGCTTAGTTCATTATTTGTGTCTGTTTCTTTCCACTGATGCAGAGAAATGTTGTGAAGACGTAATCAATGTTGCCAAGGAGGCACGGAAGCGTAATCTGGGCCCTTTGCACCCAACATTCAACATAGTCAAGGTGATACGTGGAGGCCTGTATCGGGACCTGCCGTCCAATGCACACACGCTGGCCTCTGGTCGACTGTGTGTGTCCCTCACACGCGTCATGGACGGCCAAAACGTACTGGTGTCGGACTTCAGCTCCAAAGATGAACTCATCCAGGTGAGAGCATCACTTTACCGTAGAAACAGCTCAGACTTTGATTTTCTGTCACCACTTTATATTATTCTGATAAACTACTTTTATATTCTTTTATCTACATGATTTAATGGGGCCATAACATGACATCACACTAATTCACTTAATATTCTGATAAATTCTCTGTAAAAATGAGGTCGTAACATTTTATTGAAGGAGTTCCCAAGAATCATCAGCCAAAACCCCTTGCATGTTAATTTATTAAATATTGTGGTTATAGCTTTTACCATGTTTAAATCCGTAGAATCAGGTTTCCCTCAAAATCAGTGCAAAATTGCCATTTTTTTTACATTTGGAATTTAAAATAGCTGCTAGTTAACTAAAATATACATTAAAATTAATAAAATAAAATGTATGTATATATATATATATAGTTAATTGAAATAAAGCATAAATTAAATAAAATTCATAAAAAATATTTGATGAAAAGCTCAACATAAACAAAACCCTGAAAATTAGAAATGTGGCTTTGGCAAATTAAAATAAAAATAAAATAAAATAAGAATTAATAAAATAAAATAAAAATAAATTAAAGCTAAATATTTTTAAAAAGTAATAAAAATACAACAGCAAAATATACACAACTAAAATTTTTTATTAAAATGAATATTAAAAAAATAAAAATAAAAGCTAGAATATTAATAAAAAATACTGTAATAGTATATAAATAATACTAAAATAACACAGTGTCTTTACTTTATCTTTGTTTTGCATCTGTCTTTCTCTCCCTATTTTCGCTTTCTGTTTTCTTTTCATTCCCAGGCTCTTATTTGCAGCTGTTTCATTCCTGTATATTGTGGGTTAATTCCTCCTGCCTTCCGTGGTGTGGTAAGTATTAAAGTTCATAACTTTAATGGTGTGATGTCATTTTTTTTAACTTGAGCCAATCCATGAGGCATTGTATGAGGTGACACGGCTGGAAAGTTGGATTATTTCACATGGGAGAATTAGGACATTGCAGCAAGAGTTCATTGCACTTACTTCAAAGAATTCAGTCACTGGGGCAAAGTAAACTAACACTGGCCTCAATAAGAGAATTAAATACACTTATTGTTTTGACCAAGATTTTCTTGTAGAGCTGTTGCTCAGTGTGTCTGAATGAACCCACCCTCAACCCCGTAGCCTGTACATTGTGTACTTGTTCGTTAGAAAGGGGAGGAGACTTCAATGCATAGAAATAGTTCAGAGGTCAAACAGTTCAATTAAATGTTCAGCTCTGTTTGTATAAACACATATAACCCAGTAGTGTTCATTATTTGGTTACTATATGGAATAATTGCTTCATTACATTCCTCAACTTAATTAGGTAATACAGATGATACTTTATTCATACACATGCCAGTTACTAATCATGACTTACATTGAAAAATTAAACCCAGATTAATGAATCTATCAAAACTTTAAGTAGATTAGGCTGTGACTAAAGTGGTCTATTGAGTAAAGTTTGGCTGTGAAGTTGACCTATTAAAAGGACAAATAAAGGCTGTTATGCAAGTCTTTTGGTCTGATCACACCACCACCTTACTGCTGGTCAGCCCTGATCAGACCACCCTCAGCTGAGCCACATTGACACTTGCAATAGCCTGGAAATCCCAATCGCCTCATTACAAACAATACATTTCCCATCAGGAACTACTACTGCTATCTGGCTAGCTATCATTTAATCATTAGGAAGGCTGGATGGTTTAAGATGGATGTGTCTTTATATATATATATATATTATTTTAAATATTATAAATTTAATATTTATTACTATTGAAAAAAAGTGGGTCTTAAAGCTCTGTTATGAAAAATAAAAATAGTGGTTCTACAATTTATATTTATTATTTTATTGTTCTTTATTGTTCAAACTTGAAAAGAACAGTAGAAGAGAGGCGAAGTAAAAGTTTGTGGGTAATCTTGACATTCTTTTATATACATTTTTTTTTTACATATACATATCGCTCACTTTTTCTTTCTCATCAGCGTTATGTGGATGGTGGGATGAGTGATAATCTGCCCCAGTCCGAGCTGAAGAACACCATCACCGTTTCTCCATTCTCAGGAGAGAGTGACATCTGTCCAAAAGACAATTCCACCAGCTTCCACGAACTGCGTTTCACAAACACCAGCATACAAGTCAATCTAGACAACATGTACAGACTGAGCAAAGCATTGTTTCCCCCAGAGCCTAAAGTAAGAACACCAAACACACACACACATGCTTAAGTGAAGTAAGAGTGGTATGCATGAGCTGCAGCGCAGTTACACAATCACTGTCTGTATTCAGCCTTTAAAAAAACATGCTGTTAAATGCTGGTCTGTCCTTAAGCCCTCTGATGCGCAGAGAGATCCAGACAGATGAAGTCTTTCGGTAAAATTGTAATTTATTGAACACAAAATTATAAACTATAACAATTACAGGTGATAATCATAATGAAAAAATTCAAGTTAAAGAAAAGGTTTAAAAATGAACACGAAATCCAAACTGAGTATATTCTGCTAAAATTTCTAAGAGAGTAATACAATCTAAGTGTAATAATCTTCAGAAGTCAAAAGACAAAGGCCTTTTGAGCATGTGATGTGAGCAGAAGCAAAGAAGCTGCTGCCTGAAAAGCCAATTGGAGATATATATATTAGACTTACATCCTCTTACAGCATAAAAAGATATTTATGTTTGATCAAAGGAATTTATCCATTGTGTCACAACATATGTCTTGCCAAATGTTTTTCTCCACCTAAATTAACTTGGAGTCAAAGCTAGGTCACGTTGACATGACATCAATATGCAATAGATACGATCAGATAAAAATAAAGATGGTGCTGTGATTTTACACCTTTTGAGCAGAAACAGCAGATCTTTGCAATCTTCAAATTTCACTTTGCAAATACCAGCTCTTGGAAAAGAACACTTGGTACCAAGAAAAACGAGAAGATACATTTAGCAAAACATACTTGCATTAAAAAAAAAAATGCTGAGAATACATTTCCATCATCCTATAAACATCTTTTAATCATAACAAGATGTACCTTTATATGTCAAATGTTAAAAGAAAATACTACGTCAATGGAATATGAGTATAAATGAAATTAATAGTAATAAAAGAGAATATATGAATAATACTTGAGTATATGAGTAACGCAAGAAAGTAATATGAATATAATGTGGAGTAACAATGAAAGAATCATAAAGAGTAACTTTCATCCTTTTAAATTGTTGTGATAATTTCTTTCATTTCTGTTTGGTTTTAAATGAGTTAAGAATAGTAAGAAAATCCCTATAGTGTTTGACCTACCGTATTTAATTGGAGTCACTCATTTTCATAATTATCTAAGCATTATTTAACCCTCATGATGTGTTTTAATTTTTTTGTCCAGTCATATAATAGGTCTTACTGATCAGAGCTTATGCACCTCAGTTTTTGAGTAAACATTGGCAAAATTATCCACAAATAATGCTTTTTTTACTCAAAAACCGAAGTGAATAAGCTCAGATCAATGAGGCCTATGAGCAATCAGTTCCAAAAAGACTTACAAACCTGTGTTAATTGAAAGAAAACAAGTTGACAAAAAGATTGAATCTTAGATGTGGTGGTAATATAGCATAATAAGAAATTTACAAGCAATTTTTAAAAGGCCGGTCATTTCTGACCAGGAAGCTCAACACAGCACAATAACTAATTAAATCATATCTATCACACAATGAAATGTCTGTGCATGTGATTGGCAGGTGCTGGCAGAAATGTGTCAAAGCGGGTATAAAGACGCCCTCCGATTTCTCCAGGAAAACAGTGAGTGCTCTTTATCTCTCTAATGTTCGTTTATGCGTTATGCCAAATGTGACCCTGGACCACAAAACCAGTCATAAGGGTCAATTTTCTGAAATTGAGATTTATACATCATCTGAAAGCTGAATAAATAAGCTTTCCATTGATGTATGGTTTGTTAGGATATGACAATATTTGGCTGAGATACAACTATTTGAAGATCTGGAAGCTGCGGGTGCAAAAAAATCAAAATACTGAGAAAATCGCCTTTAAAGTTGTCCAGGTCACAAATATGATATGTGCTGCGGTTTAGAAGATAACGGTGATGTCTCTTTATAGATTTGCTACAGGCGGCATGTCCAAGAGCAGACGTGGCTTTGATTCAGACCACGCCCACCTGCTGCTTTCCAGGCAATAGGAATTCAGTCGTGACGGAAACCACAAAAGAGTGGGTGCTGCGGAGACTCCGCCTCTTGAGAAAACACCACTGGTGGTTGGACGAACAACTTGTCAATAACCTGCCAACCCCCATTAAGAAAGGTAGAGTAAAGGTTTTTGCACACTGAGTCCAAAATTTTCGCACGTTAAAAAATAAATACAACCTCAAGTTGTATCTATAGAAACTACGGATCCAAGGCACTTCTTCCAGTTCCAAAATGTTAAAAAGCCTTTATTCAAACATGGCTCACTCTAGAAACATTAAAAATGACTAGAACACTGCACACTGATGCATTTCGGCCATCCAGCCTTCCTCAGAGTGTGTCAAGTACAAAATTAGTCACAGGTGTAGATATAATCAGTTGCTCAATAGAAATGGGAGAAACCAAAATACTCATTACAGGGGGGACCAATAGCATCATTAACAATTTTGAAGTATAATCACAAGTACCAAAAAAAAAAAAAAATTATATATATATCTTGATAATAATAATAAACAACCTCAAGTTGTGTCAATCACGTTTACACACTGCCTCCGAAACTTTCATCCGTCATAAAATAATTTGGATCAGGTTCGATTTTCTGCATTTTCGCATCCGTAACAAGCATTTTGAGAGGAAAGGATGACAAATACAAAAAAAACTTACTTTATACTTAAATGTACTATTAAAGCTGAAGAATGTTAACTTCATACTGTACTATGTGCATGTGTTTGCAGTTTTTTGCGATGCCTGCAGAGAAAAGCACGGCCTGCTGGCACAAGTGTCTGGTTTCCTACCGTTACGTGTAGCGTCCTACATGCTGATGCCGTACACGCTGCCAGTGGAATCAGCGTACTCTGCAGCTCAGAGGTCAATATCATCATTTAACGTTGTTTACTAATCAGAACAGAATTATTCTATTAATTGCACTTTTAATACACTACCATTCAAAAGTTTGGGGTCAGTAATGTTTTTAAATGTAACTTTAAATCCTTCTGTTCAGCAAGGTTGCATTAAATTGATTAAAAGTGACAGTGAAGACATTTGTAATGTTACAAATAATATTTCAAATATTGATATTTCAAATAAATGCTGTTCGTTTGAACTTTCTATTCATCGAGGAATCCTGAAAAAATTAATTACGGTTTGCAGAAATATTAAGCAACACGACTTTAAATATTTGTGTGAATGTCACAAATGTTGTATCCAGACAAGTTTTTAATTTCGGTTGTGTTTGAAAGGTTTTGGGAATGGATCCCAGAAGTCCCTGCAGATGTGCGCTGGCTTGCTGAGGTAGCAGGCGGTGTTTATAGACTGGCATGGAAAGGTGCAGCATCAGAGACAAGCAGGTAAAATCCCTCAGGAATTATTGAAAGCGACTATTAAAGGAGTAGTGAACTAAAAATGAAAATATGCTGAAAATGTACTCTCCCTCAGGCCATCCAAGATTTAGTTGAGTTTGTTTCTTCATCAGAACAGATTTGGGGAAGTTTAGCATTACATCACTTGCTCACCTATGGATCCTCTGCAGTGAATGGGTGCCGTCAGAATAAGAGTCCAAACAGCTGATAAAAACATTTACATTTAGTCATTTAGCAGACGCTTTTATCCAAAGCGACTTACAAATGATGACAATAGAAGCAATCAAAACCAACAAAAGAGCAATAATATGTAAGTAGTACTATATTAGCTTAACATAGTACACGTAGCAAGGTTATTATATTATATAAAAACATCTCAATAATCCGCAAATAATCTAAACAGTCCATCAATTAAATATGCTCAGATCAGATGTTTTTAACTCTCATTCTGATGACTCCCACAATTTAATTCAATGCTGAAAATCTAGATGTAGGAATTAAACATTTGAATCACTCCAGGTTCATTAATTTATAGATTGGCATATATACATGAAAGATAAGTTATACCTAGAGTCTAATAAGCAATAAGAGATCAATGTTTTTCCACAAAACAGCCAAAATGTCTTGAATGTCTTCTTATTTTGCAGTGGCGTCCCTTTGACAAGATGTGTGAGTGAACCACCAATGGTAGATTTACAAATGCCTGTCTCAAACTACAATGAACACATACCTCATTCTGCCAGCAACCTTGATAGTTACAACTGGACTTTTCCAGATGACTTCAACGCAGCTTCCTCTGTCGACCCACGTGACAGTCCCATCAACGTCACCAGCACCTCCCCTAGGCAGATGTGCTTTTTTGTTGGCTCAGAGAAGCAAATGGACCAATGCAGGACCTTTTCAGCTTAGTACAATATATACTGTGCCTGATTGCCCTGGTCATGTCATGCTGCAAATTTGAGCAGTTGGAGAGACGAGCTTGACTTGTTAAACGCTCTGGAATCCAGCGTCGAGAGTAAATATATACATGACATGTCAAACACTCCTCCTGTGACATTTTGGACATTATCCAAAAGTGCCTTTCTTCTCCATTCAGAACCAAAGATGTGTTTGATCTGTTGTGTCAGCCTGTACCTTGTGTTTTGCTGATAATTGAAGAGTTTCCTTTGCAGTTGGTGCTAATACTTCTCTGAGACCTCAGAATACTTGACATGAGCCATACAAGTCCATACCACGGAGGTGTACAATCAAATAAAGAGTCTGAGGCCATGAATCTTGCATTTGGTTTCATATAACATGCATTATAGAGCCTGTTCATCTTCCTTTCTCAGCCCCTCACAGCTCTTTCTTGGCAAATAGTGACATTTTTAACGCAAAATGGTAATGAAAATTTTAAAATACATAAGTACGTGATATAATGTATTTATATTTTGTATAACAAGAGAAGACCGTTTTAGAAGACAAATATATTTCAGTAATGATATGTTTGCATGGGAAACTTTTGATATGCTGTGCAATAAACTAAGAATGTGCACAATTATAGTTAATTAAATACAGCTTTTTATTTCACTTTCAAGTGATTTGATGATATGTAAAATTATATAATATAAGCAAAGGATCTTTACAAAAAGCTACGCGGATTTCTGAAATACTTCATTCTGATTGGTCAATGGCAGCACTGACTGAGGTGAAATATTTTCCCTAGTGACCGTTACTACTTTAACTCCGCGTCTCGTATCAATCCGCGGTCTCTTTTTAGCTAAAAGGCGCCATCCTCCTGCGACTCAGGGCGGTTACAGAGTGCAATAAAAAATAGTCTCGGGTGAGTTTAGTATTGATTTTTATACATAGTCTGAGCATAAAACGTTTTATAGATAAACAGAAACTCAGGTGTCTCCAGTTAACGCAAGAAAAAAACATAGACCGGAGGAACAACGAACCAGTAAAGGTCACGACGAGGATGGGAGAAAATAAGGTTAGATAAATGCTGATTTATAGCTAAATATTTAACTAATTTGATCAATCTAAAGTAATATTATTGTGGTATTGGTCTTGTTTCTAGGCTGTTTGTTTTCTACATTGTATGGAATATTTTTATTTCCGGAAGCTAATCTACTAGTACAATAATAAATTAATTTATGTATCTAGAAAGTTAATGGCTCTAAGTAAGTTACATTATGCTTTACACAATATAATTCAGAGTAACTTGAAAGAGTAATACATTCATTTTATACTGTCTCCCATTGTTTTGACCGCTTCGCAAACTTAAAATCAGCATAAAATGATCGAACTCTTTTTTACAACAAAACATACAGTAAATCATACGCTCTGGCCCTTTAAACCTGTTTCCCATGATGCCCCGCTGCGCGGTTCACGTGTGCGTTATCAGAAAGAAAACTCAAAGATGCAGAACGGTAATGTGAACGGAGAAGAGGATGAAGAGTATCAGCTCTTCCTCTCTCAGCACAGTCCTGCACAGTGACCAGAGAAAATGGCCTGCAGGCTGCTGATCCCACCAGGTGTGGGCAGCAGTGAGCCATTAGGCAGGCAGTCAAGTGATCTTTCTTATTGGGAGCATTTTGAGGTTTGTGATGATAAAAGGATAAAGGAAAAATATCTGATACATATATATAGGATTTCTGACGTTCACTAGAGAATTTTTGGGATAATAAAGAGGAAGGTCAAGGTACGTTGAAGGTCCTTACTGGGGACTGCAGATAGAGAGGAAACACACGAGTGGCTAAATATGCACTAAAATAAATGACTTTCTCATCAATGTGATAGAAACTCATCTGACATCGTTTGGGTGAGCTATTCATTTGTAAAAAAAAAAATTTTACCTGTTTTTTAGGGTAATGTACAGTAAGATCAGTAAACTTTTACACTTTCATAAAAATAGGCTAATTCTCATACTATTTTAGTTATTTAGTTTTTAAGTTGGTACCTTTTTAAATGTTCCATTTGTGCAAAACGCAGTGTAAAATTTGTATGTACATAACAATGATTCTACTGGCTTTCTCATGGGTGCAATAAATAACCTTTTTAAGTTTTTTAAAAGAGCAAATGAAAAATGTTGTCAAACGTTTTAGCTATATTGCCTAGCCCTATCCTGTAATAAAGATGATAACACACACACACAACTACATCGTTTCTTTCTTAAGGTTGAAGGCCTGAGACTGTAACTAGGCTCTAACTTTCTCTAAAAGATAAGATAAGATACTTTTCACATAATCTGAGTGTTAGACAACACTTTTTATTTTCTGGTGCTTATATAATTAATATATGTAAAAGTGAGGTGGATATTGCAAATAAACCTTCAATTGCTGTTATTGTTATTTTTAGTATTTTATTTACTATTTAATTTACTAAAACCCATGGCCTTGTATTTGCTAGCACCATGCTCAACTGTTTGAGCATCAGGAACTTTTGGTTTTGTTGATTTTGTAAATGCATTTTTCTCTCTTTTGGTTTGTAGTGTTTCTTGTAGATCACGGCTGGACGTATAGGGTGGAAAGCGCCCGGCAGCAGCTGCTGGAGATTCCTGGACTGCTGATCCGGATGGCCAGTCTGATGGGTTTGCCTTTTCACAGAGAGGCACCTGATCCGGACGTCGTGGATCTGGTCTTGGACAACATGTGGAAATACAACCAAACCTATCAGCTTTCCCAGGGGGTAAGAGAAGGAGAAATTTCTATTTAAGGAATAGTTCACCCCAAAATTAATATTTGTTGAAAATTTACTCACTGTCAGGCCACCCAAGATGTAAAGTTTGTTTCTTCATCAGAACACGTGGAGAATTTTAGCATTACATTACTTGCTCGCCTATGGTCTATGGATCCTCTGCAGTGAATGGGTGCCGTCAGAATGAGAGTCCAAACAGAGCAGAGTAGACATGGCATAAGTCATGGCCTTTTAAAGCACAATCGTGGTGACAAATATAGGGCATAATAAAACGTATAATATCAAATATGGGCCCAAATGAGCTTCTGGGTAGCAGCCTCAGCATCACTGCAGCATGTACTGGGGATGTGTGAGTGGACGATTTAAATAAAAGCAGTGGATTTACTTTGGATGCTGTTAAGTAACTTCAGTAAATTATATTCAGTTAAGTAAATTCATATAAATTATTGTTTGCGTGATCGTGTTTTAACCAATAAATATCTCATCTTACATTTATATGCATTTATATTCAACACACCTGCACCAAATTTAAAAGAAGAACCCACGTGTATATTTTCATCAAACAATGGCAACTTTGTAATACTTTTATTTTTTGTTTTTGAAAATATTATTTATAATGCTTCATACAAAGTTAGATCCACATAGCTACTCATATACATCATTTAACACTAGAACCACCACAAGGTAAAATTTACCCATGGCTGTTTTTCAAATGTACATAATAGATTTTCAATCAAATATACAGGTCTCCCAGTCATTGATTTTTACTAAAATTGTGTTATTTACAATCCTCTGTTGTTAAAAAATTAATTATGAAATTATTAAAAATTAATTATTAATTTGTTTTGCAATTTTTATCATTTCTTGTTTGCTACTGTGTTGATATTTATTCTAGTCTGCCCATTTCCTGAAAAAATCTGAACTATGATGTAATGAATAAAACAATTTTTATGAATACCCCAAGTTTATTGGTGTTGTTCTCTTATTCAAATTATAAATTATATAACTAAACAAATTAATTATTAATTAGGTGAAACTGTGCGCTTGATTTTGTTGTTGTATCATACATCCTATGCAGTGGTGCGGTGAATTATTATTGCTCATTATATTCTATTTAGGCTATTTTAGTCATTTAAATCGTATAGGTTATGTTAAAACATTTTATTATAATATTACACCACCCAAATATGTATTTATTTCCTTGTAATTCTCATTGTCATTGCAGGCTGGTTTATATTCACAAAGGTGATTAGTGTAGTCTGCTTTAAATAGCTGTGAACTTTGAACAACAGGACAAAAACATAGTTAATGACTAAAAATAATAATTTTATGACTCTAGATATACTTTATGAAGACAGACACACACACACACAGGCAGACTAAGAGGGGGTCTATAAAACTTTTTGTAATCTTTTGACCACATTAATAAAAATAATAATGTTTTCAAAGCACAACACTACTTTAAAGTTTAAATAAACAGTGTCCCCTACCACTTCAGTCCTACGGTAGAAATATTCTGACTTAAGATATAATTTATATTAGGTTTAATCTGCTTTAAACACTTTAGGTTCTTTAAATGTTTCTTCTTTCTACAACTTTACCCAGGACAACGTGTGATATGTTGACCGAGGAATGGAATTGTACATTAAAATTGATCACAAGGCGTCTGTGTGTGACAGCTGTGCAGATGCTGGAGACAGGGGCCCCACTGCTGTGATCCTCATGCAGCGTGAAAGAGATTCCAGGTTGTCACGTCTAGTTTCACCTGTTTATTTTGGAGATATACCATAGTAGTTCACCATGGGAAAAATCTGAAATGAGGCAGTAAATATTAAGTTACGTCCGGGATGTCTGAATATATATTCACTCTGATGACATGTGCTTACATATAAGGATAAAAAATATTTGAAAAACGACACCAGGCAGCTGCTTACTTACTTGATTGATCATAGAAACTCATACGTCGCATATGGATTAGGGTTAGCATAAATAAAATATGTGACTATATACAACACAATATAAAAATAATCATGGCTCTAAAACACAGCGAAACATTTACTATAGTTTTAGGTAACAAAAAATATGAAAGAAAAAAAAAAGCCTTACATTTTTCAGAGCGCTAAGAGGTAGATCTTTACACAATGATGTCCAAACATGGATGAGTGATTTACAACAACAAAAAAAGTGCATATAGTTTAAGTTGAATTATAAACAAAAACTCACAGACCCTTGCCTTGTCCATTGTGAAACTGAGGGTCTGACTGCTTCAAACCCTCACAGAGAGACGGGAGGGGTGAGGGGGGAGATATAGACCAGATGTTAAGTTCCCTTTCATGGGAACTTCGAACTGCGTCCTCTAGGGGTCGCTATGGGGAACGCCTCGTCGTGACCCGTGTCTGAAGCATACATAGAAAAACACCAACTCGTTGGCCGGCGACAGCCATGACGTCACTACCGGTGCGACTATAGTATAAATTGGCGCCGGGAGCACACATCATTCACTTCTTCGTCTGAAGCTTGCGTCCGCAGCATGGCGAGAAAACCTAGAGGACGCAGTGTCTCGTTCCCTACTCAGGGAACCATGGTTACATAAGTAACCTGAGACGTTCCCTTTCATGGG